TGTGTGTGTGTGTGTGTGTGTGTGTGTGTGTGTGTGTGTGCGGGCATGGATATTTATCAGAAGGTAACCATGGCCGTAGTTCTGATGACAACGTTAATTGTGTGTGTAGAGTACCACTAGTTGCTCGTCGTTATAGCAACCAACCGAATCATGCATGTAGTAGAGCTACGATAACTTTAACGATCCTCAACGATCTGTAACGATTTTCATTGTTATTGCAGTCATGCTGCGTCATGCATTGTTCAGCTGCGGGAAGTTTCTCTTACGTCACTATCCCACGCTTCTCCAATGGAGCTAGACAGTCGCACAGAATTCAGCCGTACGGAGAAAATTCGCTGACACAAGGGAGAGAGACGTACGGCGGCTCCTATAACAGCGGATACCGCGGCCCTCCTTACAAGCAACCGCATCAGTCATTCGGTAGGCTACGCTTGTATCTGCGCCGGAAGATCAACGAAGTCACGTGACTCGTTTAATACGGCGATGACGTAATTTTTCTCGTTGATCCTACGAGCATCCATCGTATGCTAGTATTGTATTTGATGTTATCCTGCAAAGTACTTTTCACGTTATTGTTCGCACCTTAAATGGATACTACACCCTAGAATTTTAGGGTATATATATATATTATGATAATTATACACGAATAATGGTATATACCTACAAATTTCTATAATCATGCATTTACATATTTGTCATAAAACAACAGTGAGTTTCGAAATCTTTATTTTTTACCGCTGACATGATATGACACCCTGCTATTGTGCTGCCACTCTTACGAAGTGCTTTTGCCAATTTATTTTGCACGTTACAGACCGAAGGCTAATCACAAAAGTGTAACTATATTTATATCTAGCTGCTATTTAACCGAACGTCTATATTGTAACTGAACCTAAAAATCTAAAGGTTGCTTACAAGATATTGCGATCCTTCTCCTTTTAATTAAATTAATAAATAAGAAACACCCTTAGTCTGTATAGCCTGCAGCCAAAAATTTACGATGCGCAACTTTGAAAGTAGATGGATTAGCAGTGGCGCCACCGTCGCTGTAATCAACGATACAGACGTTAGTTTTGAAACGTTAAAAATCATTTTTAATGCATATATATTGAACAATAAAAATTTTTATATGGCGTATTTAAGCCTACTTTAACTAAAAATAAGCAAGGAACCTATGGTTATATATCCCTTTAAATAGTTTTGTTTGTCTTTGATCGAGTTTCACTGACATTATATTGTCACATTGATGCCCACAGAGAGCGAGGTGTAGGTTTACTGTGCATATATAGTATCTGTGCGTGCCTACTGAGCTGAATTTCTACATCTCAATTCACATTGACTGGTAAACGAAGACCATTTTGCTTAGTTTTTACTTCATTGTTCATTGCCTATTCAGTTCGTTTGTTTTTTAAGGGGGTTATTTATATTGTTATATTTATTTACATCGTGATTCCAATGCTTAGAAGAATTACAAGCTCCTATGGAAACTTAAATGCACTCACTGCAGTATTGTCGCAATGGGCGGACCCAACAGCTATCTATACCTCTGTAGATCACGGAGTGTGGCAACGGATCTATACCCAAAGGCGTAGCGAACTCATTTTGCCTGGGGGCGCAGCCTGGTTTGTGTTCCTGCCAGAGGGAAGTTTGCCATTAGCCACATGTAAGAGTATTTACAATGTTCTGGAGGGCAAGAGAGTCTCTTGCCCCGCCACGAGCTGCGGGCTTACTCATACCGCCGTCTGTTTCCCGGCGTGTCATCTTATATTTGTACTTCTGATTTGTTAGGGTTTCAGTCGTTGCGTCACGGCCCTACTCACTATCTGAGATTACCGGAGCCCCACTATCCAGTACACTATGCTGCCCAGCCCCGACACCAGCTGACGTTTGACGACGATATAACTACATTCACGAACAGCCAGGCAGCTCTCATAGCCGCCCTACGAGCAGAGAAGGCAGCAATAGGGATTCTGTTGGCCAGCAATCCCCTCGCAGGTAAAGCTGCCAGAATAGAATAGAATAGAAGAGAGAGAGAATGAGAAAAGTGGTTAGAGTGGGAGAGAGTGATAGAGAATGAGAAGAGAAAGAGAGAGGATATATATATCAAAAGTAGATAATAGCTAGGGAATATAATCCCTATTATCTACTTCTGATATATATATATAGGGAATATAATCCCTATTATCTACTTCTGATATATATATATATAGGAATATAATCCTATTATACTACTTCTGTATATATATATATAGG